CGACATCTCTCCCCTGCGGCCGTGCCCCGGGATCTGGGGGCGGGCAGGGGGCCCCACAGCCTTGGCCAGCAGCCCAGCTGCCCAGTGTCTCCTGAGCCTGGCCCTGCTCTGCTCCTCCAGATGCCCCGCCCGCCTTCCCTGGGCCTCGCCCCTCACCCAGGCCCCGCCTCCCCTCTGCCCAGTGGAGTCTGTGGGCATGTCCCCCATCCGGTGGCTTCTCCAGCCCAGGCCCTCTGAAGCCCGAGGGCCCCTGGGGTGACTGCACGTCGCAGCCCCAATGGAGCTCACAGTGCCGCCCAGCTAGGGTCCAGGCTGCCCGCCTCACCCTGGCCTGCGGGGCCAGCTTTGCACACAGGCTCCCCGGCTGCGAGGTCCAGCCTTTGTGCCCGCCTCTCCCTGCACCGCCCTCCCTCCTGGGGAGTCCTGCGCCTCCCCGTGCAGCAAGGGGAAGCCCACCCTGTCCACACCCAGGAGCCCTGGCCCCGCCCTTAGGGGTCATCTAGGTGCCCCCGACAGGACTGTGCCCTCTTTTCCAGCCCCAGGCCTCTGGCGCGGTGGGCACGAGTGGAGCTCGGCTTGGGTGGAAGTGGGCATCGTGGACATGGCCCCCACGGCAATGCCAGGCACAGGGAGACACGGGGAGCCCCCGGGGCTGCGCACCCACCTGGGTCAGGTCCACGAGTTTGCCCCTGCGCGTGGGCTGTGTCTCCATGGCCCGCAGGTGGGCGATGAGCTCACAGCGCCGCTGCTGCTCCTCCCGGGCGGCCTCAGCGCGCTGCTGGTGCAGGGCCAGTGTCTCCGCGGTCACCGCCTGGGCTGGGGCCGAGGGGCTGCTCTGGGCCCCGAGCTACCTGCCTGGCGCCGGTCCCTCAGGAGCTTCATCTGCGCGGCCTTGATGTTCTTCTGCTCCTCCATCACCTGCTCCACCCGCTCCTTCGCAGACCGCTCCTCCTGCAGGCGCCTCTGCGCGCAGCGCTGCATCCGCTCCGCCATCTGCTGGGACAGGGCCCGTCACAGCCCCTGCCAACCGTGTCCCGGGGCCGTCCCAGGCCCGGAGCAGCACAAGGTCTGGGGGGCTGTTGAGTGGGGACAGGGACATGGCCAGGGGC